CAGTGCAACTTCTCAATTCTTTCATTCCTGAGTTGCAAAGCAGTTGTATTTGAAGGCCTTCACTTCGCATCCAAACTACGAGGGGATATCAGTGCTTCAGAAAAGTACACAAAGTCACGAAACAAAATTACCGATAGCGTCTCCCAGTCCGCACCTCTGCTTAACGACTTGGTCTCAATTAAGAATCACAGGCTCAACACACCCAATGTTGCATCCACCACTTCCAAAACACAAGCTTTGAAACCTCCCATTGGCAGACATGGTGGACGCGTTTTATGAGCACATCAGCATAGCATTCGACTGCATACTTTGCTACTTTCGGCCATTTTCGTGCAGAGGTGGTGCGTGTCTCATTCGTATGCACTGTTAAATGGATGGCGCACATTGCGTTTTGGTCTGCCTTCTCGGTAACACGGTAATCTGTTCAAGTCTGCGAAATGAACGACGTATTTGCTCCTCAACTGTTGCCCTTTCGGTGAAATACACCGGCGAAATCATGCAGATTTTGGATAGCGGTGGCTGAGCACAGCACGTAATGCCAGTCTACATGCCTGAGTTTAAAGATTGCGGCGTTGAGACCACATTCACACACGAAAATAGCTTTTCTTCCAGTGGAAATATTCACGTTGGCTTGTGCATGGATGGGTGCAGTTGTGAAAATTTTCGAGATGCATTTTTGCAGACAGCATTTGGGGCAACTCCTTGTAAGAGGGTTGGTGTGTTTGCGCGAGGTCGAAGATCGCAATGAAATGCGGCATCATCCTCTGATGCCATCATGCATGATGTGATGGAGAAAGAACCTCGTCATGGAAGGCAATACTCAGTGCAATAATAACAGGGACATGGTGTGACTTTTGATGTAGAAATTTTTTTTGTACCAAAGATTTGTTTACAAGTCTCACAGAAATGCATGAGTTTTTGGGCCACACCAGACACCTGCCTCTGCCCACGCACAGTTCTTGCCATTCTTCCCAACCTAGAGACAATTCAATGACGGTGCGTGGATGGGGTCGCTGGCAATACCTATGTAGTCTAAATTTCCAAAAGTTGCCTGAGTATATCTCCAGCAAAAGGGCGTCCTCTTCCCAACCCTGCCCATGGGTCGAGGTTTCGATGATGATGTCGCATTATTTTTGGCAATAATTTCTGATGATTACTTACTGCCATTTTGAAATGACCGATGAACCCAGTATGGGGCTTTTGTTGAAACGTGGTCATACTCATTCCTTCACTGTAAACTACAACGCTGCATACTCGGTATTAAATTGCACACAACTTTCTCGGTACCATGAAACACATCATGTTGGCGTAAAGAGTAGATGGTTGGAAAGGTGCTACACACTTGGCACACGGTCATGATGCAATCGCTGTTGTTTACTAACGTCAATTTTGCTAGAGCTGTGTGCTATTTTGTTGCATTTCCCACAACAC